CACAAAAATTAATGAAGACAAATCAAAGAAATTTCTTTTTATTGAAATACGTGCAAGATAGGAGAATTTTTTTTTTTTTTTTTTTTGTTGTAGTAATTTGATGAAGCTTTTGATTACAACAACCCAAAGGCTGGAGTCCTTCAGCTGACGTGAACGGAGCTGTAATAGTTTCAAAGCTTTAAAGATTGAGGAGCCAAAATTCTAATTCTTCTTCTCTTATGTTGTGCAGCCCATCTCTTTTTCTCTTGAAACTTTAATAGGAACGTCGGAACTAGACTCTTCTTTTTTTTTTTTTTTAAATTTTCTGTCTCCTCCGTCCTTTCTCTTATCTTTTTTGTCTTTCTCTTTTATATAAAAGAACTTGCTCTCCTTTTTCAAGGGGGTCATTCCTCTCATCTCATCCCCCCTATTATAATGAATTGGTTCAATTTTCAGCCATGATTCCCTCTCGTTGGACAATAATGGAAGTGTGGTTATGGTTGATAATTGCCATTTAATTGGGAGACCCACAAGGTTGGCTTGATAGCTGTTAGTAGGATTCTCTCCACCAATTTTGGTTTATTTCAATCAAAATTGATTGGTGAGGCTTGCTGAAATGGCCAATCGGCAAGAGTTTGACTCCACAAATCCGGTTAAGCTACTACTTTTCATATCCATTAGCCAACTGTATTCCCCTTTTTTGATCCTTATCTAAGTGTGGTTGCCATTTAATTGGGTCCCACTTGAGTAAATCCCTCAAATTGGTTTGAGTGAATCCTCAAATTTGGCGTGATTTGAGAGAAAATCTTTATCATTGCCAACTTTACAATATTTTGTCATTTTCTTCTTATTATGCCAAGGTGAGATAATTGGGTGTCTTCACATAAAAGGTAATTTATTCAGATATGATTAACTTGGGTGTAATTATAGCCGTTTAAATGGCCCACACTAAGCTGATTGAACCTCATGATTTGAAATAATCACTCTAATTCAACGTGATTAGAGACAAAATCTCTCTAATTGACATATAGTGGGCCTTCAATTTAGTGGGATGCTTAAGGATAGCCATGTGGCATGAATGTCCATTTACAATGGACTCCACCCCTACACCATCTTGGGTTGAGCTCAACCATTTCTCCTTTTTTTTTTCTCCGATTCATATTGGGCTTCAAGTTCTTGGCCAATACGTAAGAGGCCCCTATATTGTATCCCACCTCTTTTTTTATTATTCTTTTTTCTTAGTGGGCCCAACAACTTTCTTAGTAGGCCCAATAATTCATTTCCATTCAATTTCATACTTGGCCTTACTGAATGCATTTTTTGGGCATTTTCAGTAAGTTGGAATTTATATACCACCAGCCCTACACTTAATTTAAACAACACTTTTGCAAAAAGTGTATATATTGAATCAATTGTGGATGAGAAATTAAGAACTCCTTCACACACATACCAGCATGGTCGATTCCTCTATCTTCAACCCTTAGAAATTGATATAGATTATGTGATTAATGCTGTTACATGAGCTGAGAAACCCTGAGCACCATGGTAAAATTCTAGAAAGCCAAAAATAGGCTTACAAGAACCACAAAACTGACTTTTAAGTGAAGCTCTGTAAGGTTGTCTCTCTTAAGCTGTTCATCAACACAGGGTAAATTGCTGAAACCTCATGAAGTTAAGAAATTACAATCTAACAAAGATGTTTATTTTCCAAGTTTTCTCTTCATGTGAATCACTACCCTAAACCCTTATGATTCTTTTTTTTTTTTCTGAAATTGATTTGTTTTTCCCATAGAAACCAGCCTAAAAAATAACTGTATGGGTACTTTGGACATTTTCATGCCTCTTTTTAGAAGATTCTATCAAAGAGGGTCTACTTGCAACTGTATTAAAAAATTTAGGGGAAGTGATTGCAATTACTAAACTTCCAACAATGGTCAGAAACTTCAGGGGTGGTTTCAACAAAGATTGTAACCATACATTGAGAACATTTCACCATGACAATATCACCACCAGACTGGTTTGATTTTTTTTTTCCTTTTTTTTGGGGGGGGGGGAGGGGAGGTGTTTAACATTATTTTAGGTTAGATTTTTATTGTTGCTTGTTAATGTGGCTGCTCTCAAACTCAAATCCATGTTTTCATCTTATCCATTACACCAACTAATGGCCCATAATCTTGTCTCTGATATCTTTATGCAATTCTTAAAATTAATAATTACAATCTTAAAATACAAAATTTAAACAAAAAATATAAAATATCAGGTGAATATGTTTTGCTCTAAGTATCCATACTTAACTGTTAAGTTGCCCAAATATGACAGTCATGAAAATTTGCAAAACCTTGGCAACACTGAAAGCCTTTGTAGTCAAATGGAGACGATGACACTATCAAAGGTCTGGTGTGACATTAGCATATGCCTGACCCAAGGCCCAAAGGATATAAGCCCAAGACTCCACCCTATTTAGGTAATAGGGTTGCCACAATGAAAAGTTCAACATCAACTCTTCCCATGTTGAAGTAGGTTAAATACCACAGCACCAGTGCCGTAAAAGCCAGTTGGCCTAATATCCTTATAACTATTAACCTTGATAAAATTTATCTATTATGCTTAATGTCATTATTGATGAACCCAAAAGGTCAAACCAAATTTTTACTTTTTAAACCATAAAAATGGCTGGTAATCATAAAACATCCCATCAAAGCTAACCACCATAACCGCCTGAATTCAGACTTTTTTTTTTTTTTAATTTTGGTAGAAAGAAGAGATCCATTGATAATTATCAATGAATTCAGACTTTGAAGGTTTAGGAAAGATGTCAAATTCACGCTTTTTTTTTTCTTTCTAATTTAGAAATGCATTGTTCTTTTTGTGAACTACCACTATTACGCTAGGCCCACTAGTAGCCCAATATGGGCCGAACATACAGCCCAGTGATTCATTGTAGGTTAACGTTCCTTTTCTCTTGCCCAAGGTCAAGACTCGAGTAATAAAAGCATGATAACACCAATCCAGGATGAAACTATTACGCTAGGCCCACTAGTAGCTTTTATTTCTGTTCTTTGTAATATGATCAGTTCATAGAAAGTGAGGTTGTGATCTTTTTATACCTAAACCCCACCTCCCAAATTTTGTCAATTTGTCAAGTTAATTAATATCGTTATTCATTAAAAGAATAGGAAAAGATAGGGAAACCTATAATTAGTACGTTTCCCTACCTTTTCCTTCCTTATCCTCTCTTTTGTTTCAAACCAAACACAGCCTAAAAGGCTAAAGGGTGATCAATAATGGAGCACAAGAATTTCCCAAGACGTAACCCATCTTAGTTAAAAGAATTACTGAACCCATTTTTGTATGATCAATAATTTCAATCTTAAGAAAACTTTATTACTAAACCCATTATTTTTATTGATATGATATAATTTCATACACAAGGATTACACATACAGATGCAAATTTTGCTAATATTATTTTGCTCTTATCCTCGGATGATACTAATACTAATACTAATACTAATACTAATAATAATAATAATAATAATAATAATAATAATAATAATAATAATAATAATAATAATAAACTAAGGATTTTCAAGAAATTCTCTGGCAATCTTTCCATTTGCACCTTTGGGGTAGAAACCGCCGGGAAGATGCTCGCAGCCGGTTGCATAGAGGACCCTCAAAATCTCCTGGGGTGTTCGTGCATAAGAGATAGAATTGAAATCTGCAGATAAGGCATTGCTACACGTCCGGTTCTCTGCTCCCAGCTCGGGTGGGACAATAATCCCTTCGTCTTTGATCCCACATTTCCCTAGTCGGTTCCTCAACTCTGAGATACGAATAGTGAACTCCGCCACCGTATAGTTGTATGGATGCACTATTTCTCCTGCTCTCTCGTAGAGATAGTGTCGGATATCTGCGTCTTGCCCACCTTCAACCGCAAGAAGCCCTGCCCCCAGCTGCAGATACATGCACATACATGAATTAATGAGACAGAGAGAGAGAGACAGAGAGAGAGAGAGAGAGAGAGAGTTGTGTTCGTAGTTCTTACTCTCTTGGACTTGTAGCCATTGAGAAATGGATTTGCACCCACGTAACCATTGAGTCCCATGTATGGGATCACGTAGGAAGCCAGCATATAACTCAGACTGTCACGGTAAGGGTCGAAGGGAGGGACGAGTGGGTACCCAAAAGATTGGTCGAATATCTTGGCGAAGTTGCTGGGGCTTAGGTCCATCAGAGGCCTTGGGATCCCTCCAACTGTTGTTTTAATAGCCCTGAAAATGAGAACAAACAGAATCTCTTAGATCGACTGACGTTCGTACTCTCTCTCTGGAGCTAGACGAGGAGGAGAGGGAGGGAGAGATTAATTGCAACCTGAGATGACCAACTTCTTGATATGCGAATTCAGTGATAAGCATCTGTGTGAGATTATCGAGGTTGGCTTTCCTGGTGCCGATAGGAGGCGGCCCGCCCATGACCAACTGAGGAGCAATCTTATCGAGCCCATACCCTAAACCTACGCACAAGAAAAATTCTGCTTCCAAGAACTCAATGTTCATGGCGAACTGAAATAGGTCTACATCGTTGGCATAAACTGGAATGGCGTGTGGAGGATAATTCGGTCCACAACTAGGCTGATGAGAGACAGCAGAACTAACCTGCAGGTTGCTGCCTGCAGAGAGACGAGTGAACAAGAACAACAGTAAGAGGGAGAGGCGATATGTGAATTCAGTAGCCATTGATACTACTTGAGCGTTGAGGTTGAAGAGTGGATAAGACCAAGGAGCTGAGACACATGTATTCATATTTATAATGATCAGCGGCCACCAGAGCTGAGACACATGTATTCATATTAAGGGTCCGTTTGGTTTATAGTTGAAATGGAATGATGTATTTTAAATAGGAATCAGAATATGAATTAGAATAAACTGGAATGGATGGAATTTCATTCCCATGAGAGGGGTTAGAATTAAAATGACCCAATACGATTTGATTCCAGACCTCCTGCTCATGCTTAATTTTAATTTGTGATTAATAAAGGATGAGGCATGTCGGTTACCTTCTTGAATTAAATCAGGAAACAACACATTTTTATATTTATATGAGACCCAAATTGTTTAAACTTTTCTTTTTTTTTTTTTGAAAATGAAATGTTGCCACTCATTTGAACACAAGAAGTAAATATCATATCACTCTTGTCTCTGGGCTTTGTTTTAATATCCAAATGGGGTCTGTTGTTTATCTGGCAAGGCAATCAGCAACAATCGAGACACAGAAATCCAATTGACACCCAAAAGTCCGTATTACACAAGAGGATACATATAGTGATATATAACCACATGTGATCCAGAATGGACCACAGAAGTTTTTTTACTTGGTTTTTTGGTAAAGTAAATGGATCCGACTTTTATTTCACCAACAAAAACGAAATTTGGATTTTTTTGAGACAAATTTCTTTTACCAGATTCGGATTTGCTTCAGGAGATCACCTTTTTTTCCCTTTTTCATAAAACCTTCTATTTTCCTGTACGAAAATTTTGTCATCAACTGCTTCCGGTCACAGTCCAGTAAGCAAAGCAATCAATTTTTTCTTAAATACCCGTAGAACTAGTTTGGCATGTGTTCAACATTATCATTTGTCATTTTATTTGGATTTATTTGCTAACGAGGGTAATTTGGTCCTTCAATGATATTATGAATATAGCATTGTAGAAAAGTAGAGTGACATTTTGGCACCACGTAAACGACCCTAGAAGTACTTCGGGCATTTCACAACCACTTCGACAATCTCGACACCATTCTATTAGGCCGAATTGCGAATAGCTAGGCATGGCCTCAAGTCGGTGTAAGAGGCGACTTGCTTCTATCGATCTGACCTGACTCCAGTTTGCGACTTGCCTGACGTGCCGAGCGACCTCCCCCATAAGTGGGCTATCGCCTCCGAATTCCCTGGGATCATGATGCCACATCGGAAGAGCCAATTATCACCTTGCCTGCTTTGGGCGGGGATTGGATAAACGTTACCTACTTACACAGGATCCACCTCCGGGTGTGAAATCACCTCCGAACCAGATAGGCCGGAGATCTTGGATGCGTTTCGTGAGGCTCACAGCAGGTCGCCTATATAAGGGCCTCACCTCCAACTTCACAAGGTTCGCACGATTTAGCTCTTGCAAATCTCTAGCTCTCTTACTTTCTAACAAACAACTACCGGCTTGCTAACTTAAGCATCGAAGTGCCCACCTCGGGTCAAGCTACCCGTACACTTTGATAATCACTTTCTTGCTGTTCAACCAGGCGACTTACTCAGTTTGGCGTCCGAGCTATTTGCTAGTAGGGAGGTGAAGCTAGACTACGCTCTCCGATTCACATTCCGAGATTCAAACAATGAAACTAAGTATGAGGCATTGGTGGGTGTTGAATCCAACCAAAGATAAATGTCCTGGTCAAATTAAATATTTTTGTAGATAGTGATGAACAAGGTCGTCTCCATAGGGATTGGGTGGATTTATTTCCAAGAGAAAAGAAAATAGAGGGGTCGTTATAAAAGCAAGGAAATTAAAATAAAATAAAATAAAACAAGGATTAAATCGATGGAAAATAGTTTCTGGTTGAAGGGACAAGTTCAGCCTTGATTCTTATCATTGATTATCGATGCAAGGATAAATTCATATGTTTATGAATAAATTGGTTATAGCCATTAACAAGCTCTAACAACCAGCCTCTACTCGTATTTCTCGGCAACCAAAACAAGCTCTTTGATTACTTCTCTTATTAATAGACAGTCCTAAACAAGCTCTTAGGATTTAATCTATTAATAACATTAAGAGGGGAGAGACTCAATTCTRGTCAGCGATCTAACAAGCTCGAACTGTTTAAACCAGATCATATATCCTCCTAACATAAATCGAAAACTTGTCCAGAATCAATTTATGTTAGTTGCCACCATAATTAAACCTACCAATCATATATGAAATTGGAGGTTCAATCGGCCATAGATTATTCTCATTGAATGAGCAAGGGATCCTTCTTGCTTAATCAATAAAAATAATCCTCAAAGGAAATCGCAGAAAATATATTGATGTAACCGTTTCCGGTCACGTACCATTTTTTTGTGATGTGTTAATTTTTTGGCTAAGTAATTTGTCATTTGACCTGCTCCCTGGTGACCAGTTACTTAAAGGATGGTGGAGCTCCCTGGTGGCGAACTACCTGGTGGTGAGCTACCTTGATGAGCTACTAGGTGCGCTGCCTTGGTGGCGAGCTCCTTGGTGGAGGGCAACCCGACTGCCCTCTACATGAGATAATCTGCTCCTCTTTGAAGACAGCAGAAGCCAAGGAACCTGCGAGAACTGAATCAGAGGACCCGAGGGTGTTTACCCAGCAAGGCCACTCCGATGCTTAAGTTAGCACTCTAATAGTAGAGAGCTTGAAGATGATATTAGAGAAATGAGAGAGCTGGCGTAACCGCCTCTGATTCTCTGCCGCAGCCATTACTTGCCAAGACTGAGCTGGTGGGCGTAGGTAACCGTTGTAGAGTATGACCCTGCCAGACAAGGGACACCTCTCGGGGCTGGCAGGCACGATGAGAGACGTGGACGCAAGTCTCCAGATTTGGTAGGTACGGTTGTCAGGTAGGAAATCTTCCTGCGATTTGCCGAGCTGCTCTACAACGAGCTACATTGCACCGAGCTACTTTTCATCGAGTTGTCGGTAATGTGCCAAGGTGCTTTTACCCAAGGCAGGTCTTCGTGCCTTAATATAGGAGGTGAGCTACTTGTAAGTGGCCAGCTGCCTCTGTGGCGCGCTACCTGTGGCGAGTTGCCTATGCCGAGCTGCCTCTAAGTGTCGAGCTGCCTGTTAGTGGCGAGCTACCTGTAGGTGACGAATTGCCTACAGCTAGCTTGAGCTGTCTAGTTGTTAGAGGCTGCACTTACTTGGCATGAGGTGCCAGGTGTCATAATTTCACTAGAGGGCCAAATCCTCCCTCATCATTTGCCCCCCACTCCTGAGTTGAGAGTAACTCGTCGAAGGGAGTAGATTTCTCCTTTTGTCCCGTAAGTCGACGAGCTAGTAAGCGCTGATCCAATTTCTTAGCCTCTGGGAGCTGCCTGTAAGGTGAGGAGGTCTCCGCTAGTTTAATACCATAGCCCTTAGGCTCTGGGGGCAACTTATAGTCCATTTTTGCTGATTTTGCCCATGCTGAAGAAGCGGCTGGGTCTTAAGTAGTAATGTGGCCCATAGGGTTTGAGAGCAACTCGTAGTCCACTCTTCTTGACTTTGCCCATGCCGAAGAGGCGACTGGGTCTTAAGTAGTTGTGTTGCCCATGCCATAGAGGCGGCAAGGTCTTTCAGCAGTAATGTGGCCCGTAAGCTTTGGGAGCGACTTATAGTCCACTCTCCTTAACTTTTCCCATGCCGAAGAGGTGACGAGGTCTTATGTGGTGCCGAGGTCTTTGCCTGTGAGGTGTCTGGCTGACTAGATGCCAAGCTACCTGTGAGGTGTCGGGCTGACCGGGTGTCGAGCTGCCTGTGAGGTGTTGGGCTGACTAGGTGCCGAGCTACCTGTGAGGTGCCGAGCTGACCAGGTGGGTGCCTTAGAGCTATGATTGCGCTGCATCAACCTCATAATGCTGGTCACCCACTCCTACATGAAACTACTACGAGCTCGACTTTCGGGGGCAGCACTACTAACTTTAGGTCACCAGCTCACGCGGGAGCCTTGGAAGGCTCGACTAGAAAGGGTGCCCATGTAGTTTGTTGGCCGCCAACTCCCACGGAAGTCGCGAACAACTCATCTTTGTAGGGGGGATCTCACGAAGAGGACTGATGAGGTTTTATCTGAATTGAAAGTAAAGTTGGTAGATCTGCTTAGTCTATTAGCTTCCTGCATAGTCTTTGAGTTCATACAAAATGGAAACTATAAAGTGAGAGCTTCAGTTTCTAAAAACTGAGGACATAGCTTTTTGGGAGGAGAGGACTTAGCTTTTGGTAGGATGAGAACTTAGCCTTTCTAGGATGACAACTTAGCCTTTGTAGGATGAGAACTTAGCTTTTAGTCGCGTGTTCCCACAGACGACGCCAATTGATGTAATTGTTTTTTGTCACGTACCAATTTTTTGTGATGTGTCAATTTTTTGGCTAAGTACTTCGTCATTTGACCTGCTCCCAGGTGACCTGTGACTCAAAGGATGGTGGAGCTCTCTGGTGGCGAACTATCTGGTGGTGAAAACTTGGTAGCGAGCTCCCTAGTGGTGAGCTACCTTGATGAGCTCTGGGTGCGCTGCCTTGGTGGCGAGCTGCCTGTAAGTGGCGAGCTGCCTGTAAATGGTGAGCTACCTGTGGGTGATGAGCTGTCTGGAGCTAGCTCGAGCTATCTAGTTGTCAGAGGCAACACTTAGTTGGCATGAGGTGCAGGTGTCATAATTTCACTGGAGGGACAAATCCACCCTCATCACATATGAATACCCATAAACAATGAACAGAAATAAAAATTAATTAGATCTCACAATGTTTAAGAATCAAAACTTCCCTAACCTTTCAACCAAAAATCAAAAGCTTACACACACTTCATGTAGAAATCRCAGCTTCCAGATGAGGGGGACGTATTCTGCTTCTGTTCTCCCTTCTTGCTGAATTCTTGTTTCCAAGATTTGATGATCCTTGGGTGCTAGTCCGCCCCCCTTTATATAGCCTTAGGAGGGAGCAATTTTCAGCTCGTCTTAGGAGTTCTCTTTCTCAAAAATAGAAAGTCCTATTTC